ACCCCCTCCCGCCGCCCAGGCAGCGCCCCTCATCCTCACCCCCACCCTCCTCGCCACCCTGACCACCCGTCTGTGGTCCTTGGCCAGCAGCACCTTCAGGGGGTCCCATCCACGAAGCCCACGGTTGGTCTGACACCCGCGTCGGCACGAAGGACGAAGTCCACGCAATCCCGTCTCCAGACGCAGAGGAAGACTTGACCAATCTCGACGCTCCTCTGTCGTAGAAACACTCACCGAACACAACAGAGGGAACTTCCTCAACCTGATCGGGGTGGGGGGCCTCCACGAAAGCCACACTCATGCCCACACCCACGACGAGAGCCCGACGCTCAGCGTCACGCCGGACGTCCCGAGCGGGAGGCTAGGCAAGGAGGTGAAACAGAAGGCGTCCAGACGGGACAGGAAGCCGGAGAACCACGTGCACACGGCACCATCCGCACGGGCACGGCGCTGACAGGCTGCCCGGAGACCAAGCAGGTGTCTGGAGCCGCCCGCCTTTTCCTGGGCTTGGCACGAGGAGTGGGAGGGGCCGGCGGGTGGCTGAACTGAACGGCCACCCACCCCGATCAGCTAGAAGGGCGTCAGACTTACAAGCCACGGGGAGACAGTCCCAGGCGGGCTCTCTGCACAGCGACAGGGAGCGAACAGACCTCATAAAACACGTCGTGAGTTGTTGTCTTTTTTTTTTTTTTTAATTTTTTTTTCAACGCTTTTTATTTATTTTTGGGACAGAGAGAGACAGAGCATGAACGGGGGAGGGCCAGAGAGAGAGGGAGACACAGAATCGGAAACAGGCTCCAGGCTCCGAGCCATCAGCCCAGAGCCCGACGCGGGGCTCGAACTCCCGGACCGCGAGATCGTGACCTGGCTGAAGTCGGACGCTTAACTGACTGCGCCACCCAGGCGCCCCGTGAGTTGTTGTCTTTCGCTGGGCTTTTTGTTGTTGTTGTTTTTTAAGTCAGTAGCTGCCCCCGGGCCCAGCAGGGCGGTCAAAGGGCCTGTTCCTCCACCGGGAGCAGGGTGAGGACAGACGGCAGCTGGACGCCAGCCCTGTGGGAATGTTGTCCCGTCCGGGGCTGCTCTCCTCCACCGTGCTCTGACCTTCGCTCCAGACTGTCTGCTGACGTACCCGTCCTCGGGTTCGTGGGAACCCATCGTGGGAACCCCAACCTCAGGGTCGGCCTGGTTATAGCGCTCTGAGCCCTGCGTCCCGGGAGCCTGGCAGCCCCTGGGCCCTGTGCACACGGTTATACAGCGTTTGTCACTGAAAACGTCACCACACACACGCTGCAGTGCGGACGGACCCTGAAAATATGCCGGGTGTCCGTCCACCCGTCCCGTCTGTCTGCGTCCGTCCGTCCGCCCTTCCGTCCACCCACCCCTCCAGACACAGATGCCACAGAATCGGGAGAAGTGCAAGCAAAGCCCGGGGCTTACGAGCCACGGTTCGATACTATTCTTATCCTTTTTAAATGTCAATATCTACTTTACGTTTTCAAAATTGAACGCAATGATAAGCACATCGCTCCTTGGATTCCTGATGCTCCCGGTAACCTAGCAACCCTCGTCTCTCCGAGGACACGGGAACGGCCTGGTGCGGCATGCCCGACGCACACACAAGGGCTCTGCGCGCAGACAGCTTGTGGGAACCGCTGATGCAGAAGTTGCAAAGAATCCGCCCTCCTAGCCATTTCCTACCGATCTCTGAGGAACCCCCTGCGTGCCCATGCTGCGTGCCAGCATGCCTCCCCGCCTCCACTCTGCCCTGCTTTCTTTCCTGGGGGCTGGAGGCATCATCGCCTACGCCCCAGGCTGTGAGCAATGGTCCCTGATCGGCAAAAGGCTCTTTTTACGGCTTGTTGGCTCAAAGCAGAAGCCAGTGAGGCCGTGTGCCGTGTTCGCTTGGTGCCGTCTCTTCAGTCCCTCTGTCAGTTATTGGTTAGAACAAAATAAGTTTTAGTTTTTATAATCATTTTAGGCTCGACAGAAAAACCGTGAGGATTGTACATCTCACACCTCATTTCTCCTGTTACTAACTTCTGGCGTGAGTACATTTGTCCCGTGAGCCAGCCAACACTGACACGTTATTACTAACCGAATCAGATTTCCTTAATATTTCCCCCACGTCCTTTTCTCCCGTAGGACCCCACACAGGACTCCACTCCGCATGCACGTGTGGCGACGGTTAGTTTTATGTGTCCACCAGGGTGGCCAGGGCGTGCCCGGTGCGTGGGGTGGGGGTGAGGGTGCCCTCTGAGCCCGAGGCCCGAGCATCGCGGGCTGCCCTCCCCCGTGAGGATGCGCTCTCCGCCTGGCCGTCCAGCTGGGACATCGGCCCTGCTCTGCATTTCGGACCTGAGCTCAGTCGAGGGCTCGCTCCGTCAGCCCTGCTGGGTCTCCCGCTGGCCGACTGCCGTTCCTGGACCTTCTCTGCCTCCCTGGCCACACGGGCCAGTTCCTTATAGAAATCCTCTTTCTCTCTATATCGTATTGGTTCTGTTTCTCTGGAAACCCCAGAAAATACAGTCCCGCAGGGCTGAGACAGTTTCTCAGATTTTCCTGGTTTTTCACGGCCTGGACAGCTTTGAGGAGGACTGGCCAGGGATTTTGTGGGAAGTCACTCAAATAGGGTATGTCTGATGCTTTTCTCACATTATGAGATTGGAGTGATCGACTCTGAGGAGGAAAACCAGAAAAAAAGTGTCCTCTGGTACATGAAGAGTACAAACTTCTTGGACGTGACACCGAAAGGACAGGAATCAACAAATAAATTGGACTTCATTAAAATTAAAAGCTTGTGCATCAGAGGACGTTCTCAGTGCAGCGAGAGGCAACCCACAGAATGAAAGAAATCATCTGCAAATCATACAAGCAGTAAGGATTAATATGCAGATTATATAAAGAACTCCAACTCTTTTTTTTAAAGGTTTTAAGTAATCTCTACACCCAGTGTGCCCGAACTCACTACCCCAAGATCAAGAGTCACGTGCTCCACCGACTGAGCCACCCGGGCGCCCCAAGTGTCTGACTCTTGATCTCAGCTCAGCTCATGATCTCGTGGTTCGTGGGATCGAGCCCCCCATCAGGCTCTGTGCTGACAGCGTGGAGCATGCTTGGGACATGCTCCCCCTGTCTCTGTCCCTCACCCGCTCGTGCATATGCGTGCTCTCTAAATAAATAAACAAACAAACATTAAAAAAAAAAAAAAGCAAAAACCTGACTGAAAATGAGCACCCGAATAGACACTTCTCCAAAGAAGACCTACAGATGGCCAGGAAGCACAGGGAAGGATGGTCAACATCACTGGTCATTAACCATTAGAGAATTAAGTCAAAGCCACAGTCAGATAGCACCTCACACCCCGTAGGATGGTTATGATAAAAACAAACAAGCAGCAATAGAAATAACCGGGTTGGTGACGATGTGGAGAAACCGGAACCTCGTGCCCGGCTGGTGAGAACAGAAAACGGTGCAGCTGCCGTGGAAAACACTGTGAAGCTTCCTCAGGAAGACTAAATATAAAATTACCATAGGATCCAGAAATTCCACTTCTGGGTATAAGCCTAAAAGGTCGGAAAGCGGGGACTTGAACATACACTTGCACACCCGTGGTTGCACACCAGCAGCATCGTCCACAATGGCCACAGCTGGGAAACCACTGAGTGTCCACTGACAAATGAAGGGTGAACACAGTGTGGTCCATCCACACGCCGGAATGTGACCCGGCCTCAGGAAGGAAGGACGTCCTGCCACCTGCCACCACGTGGATGGACCCGGAGGTCACTGTGCGCCGTGACAGGAGCCAGACACAGAAGGACACGTCCCGCGTGACCCCCACTCACAGGGGGTCCCTAGAGGAGTCCCGTCCACAGAGAGAGTAGATGGTGGGAGCTAGGGCTGGGGGGTCAGTGCTTCATGGGAACAGGGTTTCAGTCTGGGGAGATGGAAAGTTCTGGAGACGGGTGGTGGGGCTGGTTACACAACAGCGTGAGTGTGCCTGATGCTGAGCTGTGTGCTTGGTGGTGGCTGAGATGGCGAATGTTATGTTACAGTAAGAAGAAGCTACATGTCCTGTTTAAAAGGCCAGGACTTGCTTAGGGTTTCCTCCTCAGAGAAAGGGAGACTTAGGCGGAAACCTACCCGGCTGTGCAGAGGCATGGGGACACCCCTGGGTCTGCCTCCGTCTGGGCCTGCGGGGCTCCTCCGAGGCCTGGTAGCCATAGCCCTGTTCTCACCCTAAGTGGCTTAGAACCCAGAGCTAAGAAGTCAACATAAAATGTGGCCCCACACTTCTGGGGAACCCAGCAGAAGCCAAGCCTCTGGGAAGGAACACGCTCTCAGCCCAGGCCGCCCAGGGCCAGCAGGTAAAGCTCAGGATGATGTGTGTGCCATGCACTGGGTATCGTGACACACCCACCCCTGCACGGGGCTGCGTGTCTGGGAAAAGTCTGCGAGCAAGTCTCCGGGGTGAAATGGCAGCGGTGAGGACAGTGGGAAGACCGGCCCGTATTTAGCACACACCCTCGCTGGGCCTTCTACTTAACTTTTCCGTGAATTCCCCCAATTTAACGCACACGACAGCTCTGGGCAGTAGGTGGGTCTTTCTCCACGGCACAAACACGCCCGGCATTCCTTTGCGTAAACGAGGGAGCTGAGACGCAGGAGAGCCAGGAAACCAGCCCAAGGCTCGTGATAACAACGTGCGGCCAGCGGTCAGCGTGAGCCTGGGTGGGCCATCGTCCACCCCGCACGCACTCTCCGTGCGGGTCCAGTCACGTCCCCGGTGGACACCGTCTCTCTCCTCTTTCTCGTCAGGTGCAGCTGCACAGCCAGCCAGCATCCCCGGGCCCTGAACCCTTCGCGGGTCCCCGGTAAGGAAGATCTTTTCTTCTCGGCTTTTTGATTGCGGGACTTCACTTTCCCCCCCGATGGCGAGCAGCCTCCAGATGTGTCAACTGAGTTCTTACGAGGGCCACGTGAACTGGGGGCGTTCTGACGCACGATGGGCCTTCACCCCGTGCCGGCTTCACGCTCTCTGACGAGCGCCCGGAGAAAGGAAGTCTGGAAGGGTTCATGAGAAAGAGAAGCAAGGCGGAGAATTCACGGCCCCACACCAAGCCAGTATCACTTCTGCCTTAACTTCCTTGAAGCTGAAGGGGAAGAAATTAGAAGCTGAACGAAAAGGTCACCTCCCTTCAAGCTGGAAAGACGTCTAGTTTCTAGAAGCGCCTCCAAAAATGGGAAGCCGGGTTTCCAGCGTAGTTTCCACTGGGTGCCGGTGAGGAAGGGGCTGCAGGGAGGGGGGCGGCCGCTGGCTGGGCGAGCAGTGGGGCGGAGCGTGCCTCCCGGGCTCGGTCCTGCTGCACAAACACCACGTGGGGCTCTGCTGGACGGCCGCCGGCCTGCCTGCTGTCCCGGGCTGACCCCGGGGAGCACTGCGCTTTCCCTCACTGACCTGGGGAATGTCTGTCCTCGTGAACGTTCATGCTGAGATCTGAGGTTTCGATTTCACCAAAACAAATACCGTGCTGGTCCACCCCTTCCGTGATTAATCCAAATAAACCAGGCTGGTTCCTGACAGCATCTCAAGGGTTTCCAGTGGACAAAAGCACGGCCCTGCCAGCCCCCAGAATGCAGAAGCGGGGAGCTGAGCGGACGGCCCCCGAGGCAACCGCCTCCCTGAGGTCCCCGAAGTTGGGGGAGGTTGCGGAAGTTGGGGGGGTTGCGGCATCTATCTAAGGCTGTGAAGTAATCATTTAAACTGGGTGAGGCCTACGGCACGTCACAGAAGGCAACATGCACATCTCGCTATGAAGGGTCTGTCACCAATGGAGGGAGCTCCTGGGGGCTCCAAACAACAAGAAGCTCCCTGCCCGAAGGATCTGGGAGGCAAGGACCCCCAGGGTTGGGTGGAGGTAAGGCCTGGTGGGGTAGGAACTTTCTAGAATGCGGTTTTCCCCTGGGCACTGTGGACATTCGGTGCCAGTTGACTCCCTGTGGGGCGGAGTGGCATCCCTGGCCCCACATCCTCGATGCCAAGAGCACCCCCGGTGGTGACAACCACAGATGTCCCCAGACACGGCCCCGTGTCGCCTGGGTGAGACTGGAACTCCTGACGCCTGAGCAAACAACTGTCCTTTGTTTCATCCCAAGGAGCAAACACTGCATCTCCTGGAACGGCCCCGGGCAGGTCGGAGGCGCCCGCCTCCAAGTCCAGCTAACACTCCATTGAGCAGTAACACCGTACCCTGTTTCTCCGTGTTCCCCTTGACAAAGGTCCACGTGCAACCTCCAGAGGAAAACGTAGGCAAAAACCAGAGGGACAGGAGTGAGGAGGGCGCTGAGCTGAACACAGCACCTGCTCCCTGGGGTTCCAGGTCCCCCAAGGCCGGCGCCCTCTGAGCCTTCGGGTTGGGCTCACCCCTTAAGGGGTGTTCCTCATGCATTTAGGACTGGATCCGATTTGCAGAAACTCAGGTGGCTGCCCCCAGGGGCAGCCCATCGTGTCCTGGGGGAGCTGAGAGGAGTCCCATCGGTAACACGTGTGTCACAGAATCAGCGATCGGGAGCTGGGTTAAAAATAGAACATGAGACAAGTTTCGTACACGCAGCGGGTCTGACTCCCACCCACAATTCTGGGACTGCAGGGCCAGGGTCGGCGCCCAGAGCCGACGGGCAGTGGGGAGCACAGGTCCCCTCTCCGGCCCGGTTCCAGATGCCCTCGAGGTGAAAGCCTTGCAGGGTGTGAGACCTATTCCGGCTCTTACTACTCGTAACAACATGGCCCTGCACGCCAGCCATCTGCTTCCGTGTGCGGGTGAAGACAGAGCAGACCGTCGCAACCCTGGGTGGAGGGCCAGGCGGCGGCATTGGATTCATCGAGCGACCGTCCCCCCACCACGGCAAAGGGGTCTGCCTTACCTACTTTAAAAAGAAACTTTGTTAATGTTTATTTATTTTTGAAAGAGAGACAGACAGACAGACAGACAGACAAGTGGGGGAGGAGCAGAGAGCGACGGAGACCAAATCTGAAACAGGCTCCAGGTTCCCAGCTGTCGGCACACAGCCCGACATGGGGCTCGAACTCACGAACCGTGAGATCGTGACCTGAGCCAAAGTCAGATGCTTAACCCACCGAGCCACCCAGGCACCCTTAATTTTAATCTTTTAAAGGACGTTAACTAGAGGAGTGCTCTCCCAGCAGCTAAGGGGGCAGTGGGTCAGGTCGCTGAGGCCCAGCTCTGTGGCTCCCAGGCCGCGGGATCAGGGCAAGCTGAATCTGGACGGACTCCCTGGCTCCTCACCTATGAACTGAGAAGCGCAGCAGCACCGGCCTCAAAGGGAGACGAGACAAAGCGCTCCTGGAACCGTAATTCCAGTGATTGGGAAACGTTCTGGTCCCGGGACCCGTCCGTGCTCTTAAAAGCAACTGTGGCTACACGTGTGACAGTGTGAGGCGAGGCGAGCGGGTCGTGCCACGGCTCTCACCAGCTGCAGATATGCGTGCGCACCTGCGCGCGGCCAGCTCCCCAGGGGCAGGGACGGGGGCGGTTTCCTGGCCCTGTCCCTGCTGCTGGGCAGCAGAGACACCTGCCTGCAGCACGGCCTGGGCAGGAATCTGCCGGGGAAGAGAAGGGGCCGTGCGAGCCCCAGATGGCCCCAGCTCCCTCCAGGAGCTGCAGGGAGCACTGGGGAGACCTGCCTGCTGGGGAGGGAAGCCTGATGGGCCCAGAGACAGGATGTGCCCTGGCTTCCCTCCACCTGCCCCCTGCCCCCCTCCGCAAGCAGACGCTGCCTCCCCCCTGCACGGGGAGCAGCTGCTGGCAGAAAAGAACGGTCCGTGCCGGCCCCCCTGAGCCAGCTCTGCAGCGGGTGGGCGGGCAGGCGCGGGGACACCCTGGGCTGGGCCTGGGGCAGCAGAGCAGGAGCCGCTACGCAATCCTAACAGCATGTGCTGCCTCCCCCGATGGTATTCTGGGAATCCAAATTAATCCCAGACGCCCGGCTGCGAGGCAGAAGCAGAAGCCGATCTCGGCCCGGGCAGCAGGCCACCCGTGTCCTCCTTTTTCTTAGATCAGAATTGCCTTTTATAGCCAGCTTGATGTCTAACAACCGGGAGGGGTCAAGGGCAAGACAAGGAAGCACCAGAAACGTAGGGCAGGCAGGGAGCGACCAAATCGAGGCTGGGGCCCAGACCCTGGACACCGTGCAGCTGAGGGGCCGAGGGGTCGAGGGTCCAGGGAGCCTGCGAGGGTGACAGGGAGGGGCCTGGGGGGGCGTCCTGCCTCGCGATCTGCATGGCTCTGGGAGGGTCGGCGAGCTGCCCACCGCCCTCCATTCCGAAGACAGAGGTGCCGTGCACAGAGCTGAGGTGCGAAGGCACATCTGTGTTCTTCCCACTCTGCCTGGCTGGAGGCGGCACGGTGGGGACCCTCCGGACGGACGGAGGAGCCCAGGAAGCCAACAGTCCCGGGCTGGGAATCGCAAACCCAGGACCGTGTTTCCAGGGCCCCGGGCGGAGACAGAACAAAACCGGGCAGGGTTCAGGCTGGTGGGCGATGGCTGAATCCGGACGCCAGCTCTCTGGGGAGCGCGAGCGGGCGAGGCCGTCAGCAGCCTCGGTGTTTGGGAGGATGACGTAAGTTGGCTTGTATCGCTGTGCACAGAGTTGGCGGTTTTTCGAAGGGCCCTGGGGCTGGGAGGGGCTTCGGTTTGTCTGGCCTGATCCAGGTCACAGGTGGGGGGTGGGGACTGAACACGACAGGCAGGGGCCCCTCTGTTCTGAGCAGCTGCTAGTTTTGTGCCCCGTGCCTCTGCGCAGTGGTGCGGACACCTTCCCCCACGCCCCCCACGCCACACGCGAGAGGAGCTGTGTCTCCCACGACCCACGTTCAGGGATGAAATGGGGCCTTTCGGGACGCTTTCCCCAAACAGGTATACGACGTTGGCGGGGAGAGCACCATCAGCTGTGGGTCCTGCCCCCCGAAACGGCAGGCCACGGGGTCCCAGGAGAGCAGCTGAGTTGTGGGGGTGAATGAGGTACAGCTGCTGAAATGTAACCCCCGCCCCCCCTTGTGCAGTCCGGATTCGTTTCCTGCAGCTACTGTAACAAATCACACTGATCTGCTGGCGTAAAACAGCAGAAGTGTATTTCTGCAGTTCCGGAGGCCAGAGTCCGAAACCGGTATCATTGGGCGGAGGTCACAGTGCCAGGGGGAGGCAGGGGGGGGTGCACGTTCTCTGGAGGCTCCGGGGAGGGTCCTTCCTATCTCCTCCAGCTCCTGGGAGCACCTGAGTGTCAAATCCCCTTCTGCCTTCTTTTTTTTTAAATTTTTTAAATGTTTATTTATTATTGAGAGACAGAGAGAGACAGAGCACAAGTATGGCAGGGGCCGAGAGACAGGGAGACCCAGAATCTGAAGCAGGTTCCAGGCTCGAGTTGTCAGCACAGAGCCCAACACGGGGCTCGAACTCACGAGCCGTGAGATCATGACCTGAGCCGAAGTCGGACACTCAACCGACTGAGCCCCCCAGGGGCCCCCCTTCTGCCTTCTTATAAGGACACCGACGGTTGCATTGAAGGCACATCAGGAAAATCCCTCCATCTGAAAAGACTTAACTTAGTGACACCTGCAAAAGCGTGATCCTATTGGGCGTGACTTTCGCGGGTTCTGGGGATTCAGGACCTGCTGTGCCCTGGGGCCTTTCTTGCCCAAGCACAAAGTCTTTCCAGGGCACGCGTGTGTGCACAGAGGAAAGGCTCCCATGTCCAGCAGCCCGGAGCACCTGTGTGAGGCATGGGCTTCGGGAGCCGGGAAGGCAGTGGAGCTGAGGTTGTCCTTCTGGAAGGGAGGAGGGGAAGGCCCGTCTGGTGGATGAGAAAGCCCAGGACCAGACAGTGATGTGACACACTGTCGGTGTGCTGAAGGCCAACGTGTCGTCCGCGTTAAAGACATTCAAACGGTAGCGATATTTTTTTAACGGAGCTGGGAAATGAAATCCGCCTGGAGTCAGTTCCCATGAGGGCTGGCCTGGCCCCGGGAACCCCACCGGCAGCGCCCTCTTCCTGCCGCACTTAGGCTGCAGGGGAGAGGGCCTGGCGAGTGTGTAACCACCAAACACACGCAAGGGGCTTTCTGGGGAGCAGCCCCGGGGGACAGCAAAACGCAGAGCCGAGGCCCAACAGCTGCTCCTTCCTGGCCGGCAGCCAGAGAGCGCCCAGAAAGCTTGTGGGGTCCGACATGCCTCCTGGAGGGGCGCACGGCTCAGGTGGCATTTGAGGAAAAAGGTCAAGCAGAGGCCGGCGGCTGCCCCTCCATGACACACGGTTTGGGCAAACCGCATGGGAGTCAGAGGAGCTGCAGGTGGCGAGTGGGCGGAGCTGAGGCGGGGAAGTGCCGGGGAGGAGAAAACCGAAACAGAGCAACATCTGATTCAGCAGAGGCCCTGCCCACACCGAGCTGCCCTCAGAGGCTCCGGGACTGGGGTGGCAGAGGCGGCCCGGCAGGCTTTCTGCACGCACACGCACACACACACGCACACACGCACACACCCTGTGGGCGGGAGGGTGGGGTAGCACACGAAGCTCCCCGGGGAATACAGCTCCCCCTGTAATCCGAGAGAGGCGGCTGGCTCGCACACACCCCAGAGTCTCGAGGCCAAGGTGCTCCAGGCCTCCACCAGCGTCTCCTCCTGCAGAGGGCTGGAGGAGTCCCAGATCCCTCCTGGGGTGAGCAGAAGTACAGCACACGGTGGCCCTGGGGGCACCCAGGTCTGCGGTTCGCTGGCCCCGTGTCGGCCAGCACCCAGGCCACCATCAGATGCCTGCAGGCCTGTGAACACAGCCGAAATCTGCGTGCCCGATCTAAAGCCTTACTTCCTCCTGCCCACATTTTTACAATTGAGGTGAGAGTTGTATACGATAAAACTAACCGTTTGAAAGTAAACATTTCAGTGGCATTGGGCGCATTCACAGTGTCCTGCAATCACCACCTCTACCAGTTCCAGAACATTCCATCAGCCCGAAAAGGAAGCCACCTCCCTATCGGCCATCACCACTCCCCTAGCTCCCAGCCCCCACGAGCCCCCTTCCCGTCCGTGGATGAGCCGGTTCCAGATGCTCCACGCACGCGGACTCACACCCCGCGGGGCCTCTCGTGTCGGGTTCCCTCCCTGAGCGTCGTGAGTTCCGGGTCCGTCCGCGGGGCGGCGGGGGTGGGCGCCTCGCTCCTGCTTGTGGCCGAGTGATATTCCCACGTGTGGTGGACACACTGTGCGTATCCATTCACCCACTGATGGATATATAGACTGTTTCCACCCTCTGGCTCCCATGAATTGTGCGGCTGTGAACATCTGTGCACGTGTCTTTATTTGAGCATCTCTGCAATCGTTTTGTGCACATTCCTAGGGCTGGAACCGCGGGGTCACCGGGCTCCCTCTCCACCTCTGCCATCCCTGGCGTGCCCAGAGCAGGCCTCGCATCTTGCCCCGTGTGGCTGGCTTCCCCACAGCACAACCAGTCAGCATGCAGGTGCACACGCATCTGAAGGGCATGTGTGTGTCCTGAGGTGACGGGCAGTGGGCGCCTTGCAGGACAGCGATGAG